GGGGCAGGGAAGGGGGGCGAGTCCTAAAGTGCCAGCTGCCACTTGCTGAGAACAGTGAGTCAGGTTGGGGGCGGGCCAGAGCGCACCCCCAGACTCACTCCTGCCCCTTCCTTGTGCTGGGCTGTGTCTGAGGGTGTCTGTGTTTTTGCTCTTCAAATCTGTCTGCTCCTCGCCTCCTTTGCTGTCTGTGGCCCTGGGTCTTCCCGTCCGTGGGACCCTATATTCTTCCTTTCTTCCTGTCCGTCTGTCTGTCCCCTTGGGCACTCTGTGTCACTGTGGCTCTGTGTTTCTGGGATTACGCCCATCTCTCTCTGGGCTTCTCCCTGCCACTCTGTCTCTGTCCATCCACATGGGTTCTCCCCTCTGACTTTCTGCTGCATTCTGTTTGTTTGGGGACCCCCCCCCCGTTTTCTCTCCGTCCTTATCTTTCTCTTTCCAGTTTTGTGTCTGTGGGGTTCTCTGGGTTTCTCCATGTCTCTCTGGCTCCGTGTCCCTGTGATTTTTCCCCTTTAGTCTGCAGCTTCGTGGTTCATCGGCGATGCCACGAATTTGTGACCTTCGAGTGTCCAGGTGCTGGGAAGGGCCCCCAGACGGACGTGAGTGCCGGACCCCTGCCTCCTCCTCAGGCCACACCCGCCCTCACCCCCTGGGCGACCGTCCCAATTTCTCCTGCTATTTTTAAGGCTGGGAGGGGAGGGGGGCCGGAGAGATAGATAGAGGGAGCTTGTCTGGCCCAGATTCCTTGCCCTTGGCCTGGAAAGGGGGACATGAGGGGCCTGGGACAGGCAGGGGACACAGGTGGGAGACAGAGCAGGCTGTGGAGACCAAAGACCACGGCAGGAAGGGTGGGCTTGCCATCCAGATGGCAGATTTAAGGAAACCGAGGGATAAAGAGGCACAAACCAGTACAGGCACCGAGATCCTGAGGTAAGAGTGAGAGCCTTAGGAAGAGGGAGGGAGAGAGAGAGCCAGAGCCAGACAAGCCCTCGAGACGTTTTTTGTGGGCTTGTCAGGTGAAGAAAACGGAGGTTGCCCAGAGCGTATATTCAGCGTCACTGCCTATCAACTCATGCCTGTGCTGCCCCCCAGGTGCCCACCTGCTCCCCAGCACCAGCTCACCCTGTGCCATCCATCCAGGGCCTGGCACATACCTTGCAGGGGCAGCGGGTATTTTCCCTGAGCCCAGCTGGGCAGAGGCTCTGAAGACACAAGCCTTGGGCTCTCCTGAGTCCCAGTCACACTGCGGACCCCTTGCTGCCCCGCCCCCCCCCCTTTAATTTACCCCTTGAAATTTCTTGGGTTTTTGGTTTGGGTTTTTTTTTGGTTTTTTGAGACAGGGTCTCACTATGCAGTTGAGACTGACCTGGAACTCACTGTGTAGCCCAGGCTGGTCTTGAACTCACACCGATCCTCCTGCCTCAGCCTCCCGACTGCTGGGATTACAGGCGTGCGCTACCACGCCCAGTTTACCCCTTGAATTTCTAGACTTCCTGATCTGTGAAATGAGGAGGGGTTGAGGACCGTGCCCCCTGTGGGATCGCTTCAAGATTCCCAGGAGTCAGATTCTTGGGGTGGGATGTGGAGACTGAGCACTGAGACGTTACTGTTGTCATTGGTGGAGAAGCAGAAGGGCCTGGCCGGCTCCTTCCTCTCCATTTTTGCTTCTGCTTCATACTTTTGATCTTGAAAGTCACATGGCCTGAGGGCATAAGAAGGCAGTGGGGCTTAGAAGTGCTATTTCGCTTCCTCCTTGTGAGAACCCTCAAGAAGGGCTCACAGCCGCCCTTTTCAGGGAGAGAAACCTGAGGCCTTGAAGGGCCCAGACCTGAGTAGTGGGCATGATCAAGATTTGGACCTTGGCCAGTTGTGGTGGTATATGCTGGTCATTCCAGCACTAGGGAGGCTGAGGCAGGAGGATCACTGTGATTTCGAGGCCAGGCTGGGCTACAGGGTCACTACCAGTGTGCACTACAAAGTGAGACCCTGTCTCAAAAAACAACAACAACAAAAAAGAGTTTGGCCTCCAGCTCCCTAACTGCAGGCACAGTGCCATCTCCTTTCTAATAAGAATCTGGCTTTGAGGAGAGTAACAGCTTCTGTCTGGATGGCTTGTGCTTCAGGCTCCCTGCAGAGGCCTTCAGTCAGACCGAGGGCATCTTACTTGTTTCAGTCAGGGTCAGTCCAAGGGCCTTTAGGGACCCAGAACATCAAAGAAGATACAGCAACTGTCAGTGCCCCTCCCCATTAATATATTCAAAATAGAACCCCACAAGCATAAATAAAATCCAAATGGGTCCTATATCTTCTCCCTACCATTCTTTCAGTGCATCCTTAGCCAAAGGCAATTCTGAAGTTGTTGAACTACCAGGCCTTGCTCCAGAGAGGTAGAGGCAGGGGAGAACTGATCCATGGGTGTTCTGAGTTGGTAATTGGATTCTGGCAATTTAGTTTTGCTTTGAGACATAGACTGTTTGTTTCCGTTTGACAGAGGAGGACGCTGAGGCCCCGAACAGTCAAAGAACTTGCTCCAAATCACACGGCTGGGAAGTGGCCTAGTTCTTATTTAAAAGCAGGGCTGTGTGGGGTGCCCAGGAAGCACCAGTGAGGGCCACAGCGCTGCGGGAGAGTGGCAGGGGAGCCTCCCATGCTCAGTCCTGCTCTGCTCTCAGCTCACCCGGCCTCTGATGCCCGCCTAACAGGGTCCCACCAGGGCTCAGCTCCCACAAGGCTGGCTGCCGGAGTGCTGGCTTGTGGCCCGCGCATCTTCAGAGCCCTGCTGGTGGAGGGTGTGGTCTGCCCAAATGCTACACAGCCAGCGGATGCCGCCCTCACTACTCCATTTCAGCTTTTGAGACAGGGTCTGTTGTAGCTCAGGCTGGCCTCGACCTCGCAGTGATCCTCCTGCCTCAGCTTCCCTAGTGCTTCTGTTGACCCCATCTCCACTTCATTTTTTCCACCCCTCTCATACATGCCTATATGTGCGCGCACACACACCTCTACTGCGGTGCTGGGGACTGAGCCCAGGGCCTCCTGCATGTTAGGCGGGCGCTCTGACCCCAGCCCATGCCGTATATTTTATTTATTTACTGTGTTGGCATCATCTCCCTCCGCTAGAAAGAAACCCCAAGGCCAGGCGTCCTTAGCTTGCTTTGCAGGTTCCAGCACCTGGGAACCGCCAGGCGCCCGCGGGGTGTGCAGCGGCCTGGGTGAGGGGGAGCTCAGGGTAGGTCAGGGTTCTGAGGCTCCTGTCCCCCCTGAGCCCC